GGTGGTAATACCGGAGCACGAGCCACACCCCCAAACAGTCATAGCCAGCGGAAAGCCAAACTTAACGTTTGGTCTGAAGAAGGTAAGAAGTAGGGGAAAAAGAAAGGAAGAGTTAAAAAACTTACCCGCCAGCCCACACAGAGCACTCCTTCAGCACACGTAACGGCACGCATTTCAGCATTTGATCGTGTTGGGCACAGATCGAACGGGGCCCCGATAACAACGGCATATATAAGTGTATCACCTGCTGTGGTATTCGTATCTATCTTTCCCGTAAATTGGGTGCTTCTTCTCATTTTCACATCGTTGTAAAATTTTCGTTTCTCATTGTAATTATTGACTCTAGTTTTGTGGAGGTCTTTCTTTCAGTGCTTTCTAAACTACTGTCACAAATGTCATCCTCATGCCATCCATATGTCAATGTCATCCTGCAGCCTTTGCTTGCGCTGACAATGTGCATCTTCGATGAGCGAGGCGCTTTGCTGTCAATTTACGTGCTTTACGATTACTCCAACGCTACCCACAACTGGACAACTCAGCCACTCACCGTACCACTCAATGTCGCTTATCTTTCCACATCTACTCTTTTATCAGGCAGGGGCGTAGCCAGAGCCTTGGCAAGGGGGCACAGGGTTGATAAGAGACCCCCTGAGGGCAAAAGGGCCCCAGAATCGTAATATTTAATCCATTTGTTATGAAAAACATGCTTTCTTCGACATATTATATGCACATATGTCACAGTTTTCTCATTCTTTAACTGAAATCTAGGCCAGACGCCACCGCGAGTCAATTCTGCCTTAGGTTTACAACACACAAACTGACAAAAACATGCGTTAAATGGCTGCATGAAATACATCACACACGCTATTCATCTTACAATAGTCCAGTAGACTCTTTTTAGGCTGAGAGAACTCAGAAATTTGGCCAGAATTTTTATCTGAGTTGTGCGCTGGCAACAAGGATTTCGCGATGAAGATCGAAATGGGTAAACGATTTAAAATTAACACTGCCAAGCCTTCTTTGTCTGGATGCACTCGTCAATTCTGACTGAATGTTGATTGTGGTAAGTGGTAAAATTACGTGACGTAGTTTTAAGCATGCGCGCTCGCATATCTTAGTACAAAAACTCGGCGCCAGGCGCTGCAGCCTCTTAAGGCCGCGCGGCGTCTTTGGCTAACCCTACGGCTAATTGGCTAATTGGCCTTGGCTAATGGCTAGCACCAAGCTGTGGCCAGCATCTGGACGAAAATGGTGACGCATCTGCAAGAAGTAACTTTGAAGGCTTTTGGACACAAATATGTATACTTAAAGATATTCCGGGCGTTTATTTTACCTGTGCAGTTTACAGATTCGTGACAATAACGCATATTGTTCTCTACAGCACCGCAAAGTGGTGCTGGAATCTGGTGGTGGAACTGGAATAGTACAGGCAAAATCTATATTTTTCGTGTTGCTGTAACTCTTAATCGGCCCAGAGGAGAGCCTCAAAGTTATAAAAAGATTCGCTCGGTAGTCCTTGAGCTGGGCGAATTAGTTTCGAAAAAGATTCGGAATCACTTTTTTGCGAAGGTCATTGCTGCGCGCCCGGTGCCCCCCCCCCCCCCCCCCCTCTGGCGTTACGTGCATGGACCAACGCCGTCCTGTTTTACAAAAACTGCGACCCAAGCCATCGCCACCCTTGCTCCCCGAAATGACGGGCATGCCATCGGGGCTCTATGTCACACTCAGCTGCTGAGGCTATATAGCGCCGCCAGCCTCTAATCCTGGCGGGAAGGGCGGGCACCGTGGAGAATCGAATTCCGAAACTGTGGTTTTCCAGACGTGCAGTTGTTAACGCGGGCGCGTCAACCACTACGCCACCGGCGCCCGACACACAGGCTGAAACCTTTTGAAGGTACTTGTTTCACTAGTCGATTCTCCAAAGGATGAACGTTTTCAAGTAAACATGGCATGGCCTTGTGTGCTTTGAACCCATTTTGGCCCACTCCATTTAACACTCATGAGACCCCTTATTTCCGGTAATGGGGCTCTATTGAGTACAACACGATGGGGCACATTGTTGTTCCCGGTCAATGACTGAAGGCTATTTTGTCCCACCTCGGTGTGTTTTCTGGCCGTCATTCCGGCGACACGGGGCGGCATCCCCTGGCCAATCCGGAGGCCCTTAGAGGGGCATGTTATATCACATTGATTCGCCCCCTGACGCGGGAGGTCTCCTAACCCGCATAGTTGACCCTGGATGGACGCATGCACCGTCATCATTAACGCAACAATACCTCCGCTCGCCCCACGTGGTCAAATAATTGGCACATTGCCTTCGGCTGGGTTTAACGGGCCCATACTGGAATAAGGTTGGGTGGCACACCGTTCGGAACGGGGGAACCGGCCGGCACAAAACCCTTTCATTGCCTCAATATGAGCACTCATCAGAAGTTCTCTTGTTTCCTTTCATTGTCGGAAGGCCCCGACCAACGCAGGAGGCCCTGTGTCATTTGGGGCCCGTTCCCGTTCCTGTTAAGCAAATCTTCCCATGACCGATTCGAGACCCCTTGTTGGCAGAATGCCGTTAGGCGCTGTAGCCCCTGAACGATACAGGAGCCCAACCAAAGTAAATCGCGGGTCCGGCCTTCACTCGCCTTGGGAAACAGGCTCCCAGAGCTCATGCCAACACTGAGGCCGGCTGTTCGCTGTTCATGATCTCTGGCCGAAATAGAGGAACGCTATGTCCCAGGATCCATTCGGTGCAAGAGATCATCTTACTGACGGTTGAAATCACCGGCCCTACAGGCGGGGATGATTAATGTGAGCTACAACGAGCCCTTTGGGCCGCTCCGCCAGCCCTTTGGGACCTTCAATCTTCCAATCGGGCCCCTGATCTTTGGGTCCCCAAGGGGACCTTTCGGCCTCCTCTTCGTTGCCCCACTCAAACGCCGGCTCCTGGCCGACTCGGGACACTGACTGCCACAGAACCCCTGTTAGGCACTGGGTCCCTTGACCGACACAAAAACCCCTCATTGTGTCAGAGGCCCCGAATATCGCAAAATGCCGACCGGCCTCGTTTCTTCTGTTTAAGTTATGGGACCTCAAGGGCTCATACGGAATTGGGAGCCGACTTTTCGTTGTTCGTGGTCTCTGACCGACTAAACCACCCGCACCGTCTCAGAGGTTCCTTAAAGAGTGCAAAAGAGCCCCTGGACGATATTTCATGTCACCACCCTACGGAGAGCGATTCTTTCTTGCGACCTACAGTCAATCTTTCGGGCCCTTATGCCCACCAACGGGCTTTTGATCGTCGGTTCCGGCGGGGCCTCCAGGGCCCCTCCCTCTTCGGGCCTCATCGAACACTTTCCCTTGGTCGCTTTGGGGGCCCTATGAGCACAGGGCATTCTGTTAGGCGCCGTGGGCCCCTGACAGATACAAGGCTTCCCGACCAGTGTAAATCACTGGCCCCCGACTTTAAAGCTGACTTAGAAGTGGGCACTTAGGCCCATAACGCACCGAGCCGACCATGTCGTACGGTAGTGTCCTGACCGACATATAGACCCACGTCGACTCAGGGATCCCCGATCGGCGCAAGCGGCCCCTCCGACCGTTCTTTGAGGGTCCGTCTTCGCAGGTCGGGGCCCCTGAATGGGACTCCGGCCAGCCCTTTATGCCCTTAGGACCCTTCAGTCGGAGTACTTGATCGTCAAACCCAGTGGGTCTTCTAGGCCTTTCGGGCCCCTCTCGAATACTACCTCTGGCCGACCCGGGGGTCCCTTGACAACACAGGGCCCCTGTAAGGCGCTGTGGGTCCCCGACCAATGTAAATCGCTGGCTCCGGCTTTGTCCATGCCTGGGGAATGGGCCCATGGGCCCATGCTCTGCCACGTAGCCGGTGTGCGTTACTGGGGGTCTCTGATCAACGTGCGAGCCTCTGACTGGCATTGCAAAGCCCTGTGGGCTGAGGCCCCTGAATGAGACCTCCGGCCGTCTTTTCGCGCCCTGAATTGTAGGTTCCGAGGGGCCGGTACCTACCGGACGACACGTGCGGTCCCCCCCCCCCCCCCTCCTGCCTGCCCTACTGGGTTTCAGGCAGTCGAAGTCCTTATCTATCCTACGTCGTATTCTCCAAACATTAAAGACAAGTGCCCCCACTTAACGCACTCGCAACGCAAGAGCTACCACATCAAACTCGCGCGTTCTTTGTTAAAGTGATTTATTTAATCTGGTAGCGCTTTCACTCCATGCCGACGGACTGCCAAAAAAAATCCTGGCAGCAGCGCCAGCCGGCGTGTCTGACAGTCGCAAACCACGCCTACTTTGTGGGTCACTTGACGTGACGTAGGGCAAATACTGGGCTGTGATTGGTGCTGCCAAAACGTGCTGACCGCAGATCGAACAAAATCCTCGTCTTGTATACCCGCCGTAAAAATGACCCAAATCTAGAGAAATAGCTGAACGGGAAATTATAGAGTTGATGACATCCCTTCATAGTTCAAGATGGTATCAATATGATCAATTTAGTATTAACAGATGCATGAAGTTCGGTCAAGTTGACAGCGTTTAGCTATCACCCGCGGTTTGACAGGGTCTTACCCGTTGCGACCTTCTTTGCCACTGATGAAGCGTAAAGAACTTATGTAATTCTGCTTTTGAGTGCCTGCGTCACTCCATCCATGCGTCATCCCATTTCTAATTATTTTATCGGAATCACTTTTGGCTAAGGCATGTGCACACTCAAAAGTCGCAGTACTGAAAGCACAAATGACGTCATAGTATTTAATGGATGCATTTTTACAATGAATCTCTTTTTTACTCATAACTTAGGATACAATAACGATTTTTTTGTCAAGGTTATGACTAAACAAAGACTAATCAGACCACAAACCATACATTGGCTTATAACTATTAATGGCGTCATCAAGAGTGTCAACGAGTCAGCTTTTTGTTATTCCTTGAACGACCATGCCTTGTCCGACTCACTGTGGTTTGCGTCACGTTTGCGTCACCTCGGATGACCCTGGGGCTCCGCTGGCTCGGTGTCGCTGGCACAATATTGCGTCGCGGCCCCAGTGGTCCCAGCCTTTCCTCATCATCATGGCGGGGCGTTGTTAGTCTACCTCTTGGCTTCTGCCATAAGGTAGCCATTTTTCGGAAATTCTGTGCGCGTGAGTGAGGGCAGTGTGTGAGCAGTAAAACTGCCTGAAGTGCCCAGAGATCTCCCCCTGTCTGGCCTCGCGCAGGTAAGAACAGTATGCCTCTGCAGTAGTAGATACATATGTGCATTGATATATATCGCGCGGTGTAGCTGTCACGCTGATCAGGTGTAACATGCTCATGTTCTGAGGGGAGGCAAGGGGTGTCAAGGTTTAATTAAGGATATTACGTGCAGTGTGCGCATGTATAGCCACATACCCGAATTTGAGGAACGTAACTTTTTAACAGTTATGTTACAAAGAAAGTGTCGGTGGCGCCAGTTATGTCATACAGTGACATTTTCACTACAATCTTGAATGACTGTGTGAAACTGCCATTTGCAACTCATGCTGTTCATATGTTGTTATGCATCTGGGCCACACCTGGCATGATAGCATCAATGAAGATATGAAGGTGTTTCAGGTTGATTTCTAAAGATTTAGCTGTTCTATGATGTGCCTCTCAGGCATAATAAAGAGTCATTAAGGCCATTGAAAACAGCTGAAAGTGTAACCTTGTTGTTTAGCTTTCAAATGACAAGTAGGAATTAACTTTGGCTCTGAAAAACTAGGATGGCTCCATGCATAAATAACTTTTTTCAACAAAAATTATCATGGCGTAGAATATGACTTGGCTCAACTGAGGCAAGCTATCACTTCAATCTTGATATTTTTGCTGGCTTGTTTTATGGTCTGCTGCATCCATTATCTAATGACAAGTGACATGCAGCAGAGATGTTATTTTGGCATACACCTTGTTTCTAGCTGGCTGTTTACTTTAACAACTTGCCACAAATCAGGTACATAAATGTTGCATGTATCACAGTGTGCATTTATAGTGCATCAGGGTTGTGTCTTTAATGCATTGACACTGCATTTTCAGTGCTGAGATGAGTTTCCGGTCTAGAAAAAGATCATCTAGCTGCTGCTGCTCACAAGTTGTTCCTGTTGTCAACCCAAAGAAGATACGGATATCTGAAGCTTTAGGCTCTTTGAAAGAAAAGGATGTATCATGTAAGATGATGTGCATATGGTAGACCAGTAAAATTGTGCATTGCTATTTGCTAGATAGACCATTGTGGTAATATTCCTCACCATTCCTGATGTATATTGCTCTGTTGGATGTCTTTGTAGAATAGACGTGGAGCTTGTCAAGACAATGTATTGTGTTGTGTTGAATGCTGCTCCTCATCAGCTAGTGATTGGGTTTTAAGGCCACACCAACTGCAATGGTTATTTGCACCCTGCCGCATTGCAGCTGTGCTGCAGTTTATAATAGTCTTGTTGAAAATTTCTGTGGATATCAGTGTTTTTCTCCTTCAGATCCTCCTGCTGGAACGCCAGTAGACCTGGTTCGAGTGAAGAAAGTTGGACCTTTCATCCTGGGACCAGTTTTGGGAAATTCTCCTGTCAAAAGTATTGTTCAGTGCTTGGCAAGGCAAGAAAAAACAGACAAGTTCTTCACTGTCAAGGTATGCTTTCCAGCAATTTTTATCCTGTACTGTGTGAAAATATGTTCTTCACTGTACATTATTTTGAAAAAGTTTTTTGCTGGTTGTGAATGTGAATGCATTGTGATCTTGAAAAGAATTTCTCCTCTTGTGCTATGTAAGAAATGTATTGTTCTATTTGAAACATTTTTACAAACAAGCGGGTTAATTAAAAATGATATGAACCTTACTGTATTACCCGACATTTCCTTAAGTAATGTTAGGTGCAGTCTTCTGTCATCTCATGCAGCAAAATTGCTGAAACATTATCCAGGTTTGCTTCCTTGGCTGTGATGCTGGGAAAAGTCTGCTGCATTCATCTCCTCCCCATTTCATTGCATAACCATCTGTGATTTTTTCCACTTAGATATTAAGCTTGAAGCCTCCTAGTGAGGAGACACAGGACGACCGGCAAGGCAAGATGCTTTTGCATACGGAATACTCGCTTCTCTCACTGTTGCGAGGCCAGCAGGGGGTGATTCAGCATCATGGACTTTACAAGGTGCTGCAACTTTTCAGTGTTATGTGTTGTTTTCCATATTTTATGTGAATGGTCAGCTTCAATTGTCATTTAATAGTTTTGGTAGCTTCAGTCGTCAGTTAATAGTGTTGGTAGCTCCAATTATCAATGTTAATAGTGTTTCCTATAATTTCCAGCATGGACTGATTTGCCAGGGCCACCCTCACTGTTCATAGATAAAGTTTTATGTGGGTATACTTGCCCACCATCTGCTTGGTGTGTTAGCCAGCTGGCCGGCCGACTGGTGCTGTGTGCGTGTATGCCGCGCCGCGTCCGGCTCCGCTGTGACCGTGGCCGTGCGCCGCAGGACATCGCCCTGGAGGAGGTGGACACGAGCCGCGGCACCGTCTACTCGGGCCGCGCCGTGCAGCGCGTGGCGCTCGTGCTCGACTGCCTCACGCCGCACGACTTCTCACCCAGCGAGCACATCAACCTGCAGCACTACGTCATCCGCCAGAAGCGGCTGGCCGAGCAGGAGGCGCTGCTCGTCTTCAGCCACGTGGTGCGGGTAGTGGCCATGCTGCATAAGAATAACGTGGTCCACCGCGACCTCAAGCTGGGCAACATCGTGCTCAACCGGCGCACCAAGAAGGTAGTGCTGACCAACTTTTGTCTGGGCAAGCACCTGCTGAACGAGGACGACCTGCTGAAGGACCAACGCGGCTCGCCGGCGTACATCAGCCCGGACGTGCTCAGCGGAAAGCCCTATCTAGGTGAGTGCCGACTCCCTCTGCGGAGGTGCGAGTCGCCGGCCGTGGCCGCCGGTGTCGGTCCCGCCCACCGACGTGCTGGCCGGAGGTGCGGCGCTCCGGCTTCGGCTGCGGACCTCCGCGTGGCTCCGGGGCGAACCGGTGGTGTCCAGCTCGCGTGGTGGCGGACGTGACGCCGCGGCCGCCCGGTCCCGACTGCAGGACGCGTGACGTAACGCCGGAGGTGGTCCGGCTGTGACGAGTGCGCCCGGGTGGCGCCGTGCCGCGCCGGGCAGCTGCATTGTTTGGCGTCGGCCGGCGTCCGGACTGCACCCGCGTCCCGGCGTAGTCGCCGGTCTGCGCAGTTTGCCGCACCCGTAAGCTGATCCGAACGGCCGCGAATCACCGCTGCACGTCGGCGTCTGTTATCGAACGCCCCGACGGCCGCGATCGGGAATGATCGGTCGCCGAAGGCAGGTGCCGGCCGCTGTACGTGCTCCGTGTCCCACCGTGGTCCCCCTTGCCCTCCATCCGAGTGTTGCGTCAGACCGCGCCCGCGCTCGCGGTGATGATTGGCCTCCGGTTGCACCATATCGGACGAGTCCGCACGCCTTCCCTCCCCCCCCCGTCCCCCTTACGCTACTGTTGGAGCGCGAAAACGCAGTGAGTCGAGGGAAGGTTACCCGTGGAGGAGCGCTGATCTTGGTAGACATACCGACGGGGCGACTGTTTGCAGGATCGGTGGGGGTGGTGGGTGATACTGGAGGTAAACATCTCATACCTTCGTAGTAGCAAGGGGGCTTTGGGGCACTTCGGCTGGGTGGTCACTTAGCGCCGATATCTCACAACGTTGTTGATGCTGGCAAAGGAGCACGTTAAGACGGCGCCTCCGAGACGTATCTCCTACGGCCGCCCAAAATGTGTGGTGTACGCGCGTGGTGCGCGCTCTGGTTTGTGACGCGTGGAAAGGCTCGGCATTCAGCTAAAAGACGAGGTTCGAGCGCATCTCTGCGCGAGGATATGCAGTAACAGGTCGCGGGTTCCCGGTGTTGAATGCAGCTGCCCACAAGGTCACCCGTCGGTGAGCAGGCACGCGCCCAGCTGGTACCCGACCGAACTTTGCACTCAGCTGCTCACAAGGGCGCCCTGGGAAAGCCGGCATGCGGCCGGCCGGCTTTCAGTAGCTTCGTATGTGAGGAGAGGCCGTTGTGGAGGCCATGTAAGGACCGGATCAGCGGAGCGGCCAGGTGCGCGCGTGGAATGCGGGGGCGAGGCCCGTGCACGGGCGTGACGCCCCGCGCCCAGAATAGACTCGTGACCGGGCCGGACCGGCACCGGCACGCGCGCACTCGCGACCTGCGACCGTGCGGCATGACCCCGCACTGGTGCATCCGGGAAAGCCAGTGGCGGGGATTACACGGGCGACGCGAAGCTAGCCGCCGGGGTGGGCAGTTTTTACGGGCGCCAGTTGTGCAAAGTCATGCGGGTGGCAGTGGTGCGGCCGCTGTTGTCATTGCCGGTGGTGAAACGCAAGATGCACAGTCACCGTCCATCGCAACCAGTATTTGCCCAATGCCAGACTGTCCGTTGTCCTAGAGTAGGATAAGCCGATTTGCTATGGCTATTGTCGCGACTTCTTTGCGAGGTTCATATACTCGGCCCCGGGGTTTAAGTGTCCCGTTCGTGCGTTGTTCCGAGGCTGCAAGCCTGTATGGAATCCTTTTGCGCCTCCTGTTTCATCATGGTTGTTACCAGCTCAGTGTTTTCCGCTGCGTTGGGCGATCCAGAGGACCTGACTCAGGTTTCTCCGTTGTCCTCGCCGGTCATTGGGCTCCTTCAAATGTGAGTAAACCGGCCGGTCGGTGGCGGCTAGCGCCTGCCGTTCCACTCCGCGATACGCCTCTGGTTTGGAGCAGAGCCGCGGGCCGAGCGAGCCTGACTCGAAATATGGCACGGCTGTTAACATGGACAGCCCGGTCGGTCCCGGCTGTAGCGCCAGTCACAGACAGATGGTGACAGCCACTGGCGGGGATCCGTGCAGTGCGCCGTAAATACGTGGCGCGGTTCTTTAAACCTTGTGCTGCCATTGTCCAGAATCAAGTACATTACAGCTATTTTTTATGCGTCGTTTTCTGGCGGGATTGCAAAGAGATCAAAATTTAACGCGAATAACGCGATATGGGTCGAAAGCAGGTCTACAATTTGACAACCCAAGGACGCTGTGTTACTGCAGAAAACGACAGTCGTATTGGCAGAAACGTGCGTGGCCGCGCGGCGCGGACCGTGCGCGTCAACACACCATGGATACACCGGGCATGAGTATTTTCACGGATTGAGGTCAGATCCCAACAACCGGAGCAGATACAGGTGAAAACCAGCTGCAAAGTACAGGCGAATGGGAAGTGGCCTGTAGTCTCATGTCGCCTTAAGGAACCGCCGAATACATGCCACTCTGACGTAGACTGAGATAGCTGGTGTCACGAAAACCTCACAGGGTGTATGGTAAACCATTGAGCAGCATCAGCCAATTGTATTGCAGTCCTTTGGTCAGCGTCTAACATCACAAACCAATTTTACTTCATCGGGTTCATCGACCAAAATGACTACGGCAGGCCAAACGCTTACGTCGCCAGTTTCCAAATTCGTAAACCAGGGCGTGTACGCCACGTTAGCGGTACATCCCTGCCTGCCCCCATGAAAACGGAACATTTTGTCGCATTGAGAGGACCCACTTATGTGTGGTTGCTCTGTATCATTGCACATGTATCACATGCCTCATACCAATGTTCATCTGTTGTCATCTCGCACGTCCCACGCTGAAGAAGGCGCCTGATTGGTTGAATTGTATCGCGTTCACGTTGTCCCTCGCGGGACTCCAAGGTCTTGTTGACCTTGTTGTGCAACGCTCGCTCTGTTCGGTCTACGCAATAGAGCCCGCTCTCTTGGTTTCAAAAACGTTCACGTGGCTTGCTGGGGTATATTGTGACCGCATGGATTCACTTAGAGACAAGCGAATGACGTTTGGACGGTGACATTGCGTTGTTGCATGCTTACATTATCGAAATGTGAACGTTGTGGGTTTCAGAACATCACGTAAGAGTCGAATGTTCCGTGAACAATATTCTGTGAGCCACGATCGAAATGATGCTCACTTGACGCCTGAGTGAACCGTTTCCACAATTGAAATGACTTATGTAGTCTTGCACCAGAATATCTCACAACGCACTGTTAAGCTTTCGACGTCATAATGTAACCCAGCATTTCTTCCTCCACGCCACGCACGAAAGCCTGCTAACAGAATGTGGTGGCCCAGTATCGGCTCGCCCCGGCCCTCCGACCAGTGGCCCCACGTCCGTCTGCAGCGCCGTTCGCGAACTCCGCTGTCCGTCCGCCGTCCGCCGGCACGTTGCTCCGCCCCGCCGCGGGTCCGCCCCGTCCACGCGTTCGGCGCCCTGCGCCGGTGCTGTAATCGGCGCCGGCCGTTGCGCAGGGCCGCAGTAGGGGACACTCCCAGCGGCTGCAGCGGGCCGGCCCGATTCGGTTGCGCAGTCCGGTTACAAAACATTGGCGGGCGGCCGGGCCCGGGTCGCGCGGGCGCACTGCGCCCTGCCGACAGGGTCGGGCGGGGCGCGCGTCAGCGGCGCGCGTTGACGGCGGCGGCGGCTGCAGGTGGGACGTGACGTGCTGGGCCGAGCTGCGTGCCCGGGCGCGGCACGCGGCGGCAGGTCGTGCACCCGTGCCGCGCCGGCCCGGCCTGGCGCGCCGGCCGCCGCCGCCGCCGCCCGCTCAAGGCTGATACAAGGTCAGGCGCGCTGCTCATCACGTGTGTGTCAGGGTCCGCCGGCAGGCTGGTCCCGGCCGCCCATGACGCAACGCCAGAACCAGTTGCACCAGCTACCCCTCCCTCACCCCCCTCTCAGCCGGCTGCTGGCCGGCGGGGCGCCGGCGGATCGCCCGGCGGGCCGCGCCGCGGCTATTCTCATCCAATTGACTCATGCCACGCCGCGAATGGTGCTGGCTATTTGAGGCGACGTTTCGAGAAGCGGCTCGCTGGAGACGAGCGAGCGGCGTCGTTTCCAGTCCACTGGCCTCCACGGGCGATGTCCGTCAGCGGAGGTGTGCGGCGCGTCGAGGCGGCGCGCCGGGCGCCGGCGTCGAGCGACCCGAAGCCGATGCGTGGCGGCTGTCCGCAGTCACCCGTCTTGGTACCGCGCGCTCCCTCCTCAGGCCCCGCCGCCAGCTGGTAACCAGCTCCAGGCGTACCTCAGCCGCATACTTCAGGCTTGTTCCAGCGCATTACGTAGCGAGACAGCGGTCCAGTTGCCACCCGGTAATCTAGAGAGTATTAGTGACGCAGCACTGGTGTCTGTTCGTCATTAGCGAGTGTTGGTAGTTGCCTATGACGTCACAAATCGCTGTGTCATGTACGAACGACTGAAGTCCGTTTACTGTTGAATATTTGACGTTGCCTTCTGTGACGTCAAGGGTGTCTACCCTGGCATAGCGTTGGCCTATAAAGAACGTGCCTCTGGTCATGACACCTGTGACCAACGTCGTGCAATAGGCCACCGGAGGTGCGCGCTCTACTTTTCGTCAGCTCCACCAACCAGATACCATATCCACGCACCTCTTTCCGACAGTATTGAGTGCTCTCGCAACTGTGGCGTTCTCCCCCGCCGTTTAGCGCGCGCTCCCTCGACCCTGTCGCCCTGCCAGCCGGGCCGGCGGCCCCCCATATTACACGTGGCCCGCCGACTTCGGCTAACGGGTCAGCCAGCCGTTGCCACACCGCAGCCATTGTAGTATCGAAACGCATGATGAAACCCGTTTTTCTCGTGTGGGAGCGCGCGATTGCAGCGGGCGCGTGTCGGCCGACCGACATTGACATTGGCGGTGACGGGCGGCCGGTCGGGTCACGGCGCCGGTTACACGGCCCCGTGACCTCAGCCGCGCCGCCGAGCCCGCGCTGACCTTCGCGCTAATTGGCGTCGGGCGGCGGCGGCGACGGGCTCCGACCGGAGCCG